TCTACATGAGAAGTAGAAAGTATAAAAAGACAAGATCTCCTGAGTAAATTGGGAGCACGGGGACCTTGGGGGAGGGTTGAAGGGGGAAGGGAAAGGCAGGGAGGGGAGCAGAGAAAAATGTAGAGTTCAATAAATATCAATAAAAAATAAAAAAAAAGAATTCATGTTATAGCTGTGGACTGGATGTGGCTTGGAGAAGTCAGACTCTCTGGGAGTTGTGTTAGAGCTATTTGGAAGTGTTCCATGGGGATGTGGGCTCTGCAGTGGGGACAGGATGTTCTTGGAAGCAGAAGACTTGTGCAATGGGGAAAGATCTGGGGGAAATTTTACAATGCAAGGCTACCATAGAGGACATTCCAGCCTTTTTCTGAGTTCCCCAGGACAATGGAGAGAGATCAAGCTGCAGGTATCTGGGGACTTCATTTACTTACCCATGCTTCAAACCAGCACTGAAGGAGATTGAGAGGTTCAAGGTGAGCCTCGGATATATATACATATATATATATATATATATGTAGGGAGTTTGAAGCCAGTCTGGGCTATGTCCAATGGCTCAGTACTTTAGAGCACTGGTTACCCTTCTGGCCACTTGGGGGTCAATCCCCAGCACCCACATGATAATTCAGAACCATGTATAACTCTGGTCCCAGGGGCCCCAACCCCCTCTTCTGGCCTTTGAGGATACTGCACACACGAGGTGCATGTACAGATATATAGGCAAATCACTCGTACACACAAAATAATTTTATTTATTTTTTTTAATGATTTATTTATTTATTATGTACACAGTGTTTAGTCTCCATGTATGCCTGCAGGCCAAAAGAGGGCATCAGATCTCATTACAGATGGTTGTGAGCCACCATGTGGGTTGCTGGGAATTGAATTCAGGACCTCTGGAAGAGCAGTCAGTGCTCTTAACCTCTGAGTCATCTCTCCAGCCCACAAAATAATTAAAAAAAAAATTTAAAGACCCTATCTCAAAAAAAAAAAAGCTAGAATTAAGTGTACTTAAAGAGATAAGCAAGAGTCCTGGGCTCCCGGAGAACAGCTAAGTAAACTTGATCAGAAGCCCTGGCTTCTGAAAGAGGAGCACTCCCACGACGGCCAACTGTGTATTCCTCTAAACCTTCCCGCACTCTTGCGTGAGGAGGCTTTGAGGGACTGGGGAGAGACAGGACATGAACTTGGCAGAGGCAGCATGGTTGGAGAAGTCAAGGGCTGGAACTTTGTCCATAAGTCACCAGGGGACACCAAAAGCAAGAAGAGCCTGCTCAGGTCTGAGTGGGCAGTGGTCTGGGAGTGGCTCCCGGGAAGGTGAGCATTAGGGGTCTTTGCAGTGCCCAGAGGTGAGGGTTGGTTGAAACGATTAAAGAGGGAGACTGTGACAGGTTGGATGAAGATGTAGGGTTTGCTGTTGGTCCATTCAATTGATGCAGCTAAGTGTCGGCCCTGTTACTATTGAGAATCCAGGCATCAGATCAGGCCTGTAATCCCAGCATTTAGGAAACTGAGGCAGAAGTTCAAGACCAGCCTGGGCTACAGCAAGAGACCCTACCTCAAATAACAAAACCACCCACAAGCAAACAAACCAAAGCTAACAAAAGGCAGTGGGAGGGCAGTGATTGGTATGAGGTGCCCGGGGGCAACGCATGAAAAAGCAGGCGTAGAAATGCAGACCGGGATCCACGGCTGGGCTAGATGCAGAGACTGGGACTCATTTGGTTGAGCTCCTACTGCTATGTGCTGTGTACTGATTTAGGAACTAGGAATTCAGTCTGCCTGGAAAAGGTAACACAAACTCTCCATGGGCCTTGTGTTACAATGTGTATTTGGAACCACATGATGGTCAGACTAAGCACCCACATCTGTTACAGGATGGGTGGTTCCAGGTACAAAGGGAGACAGGAAATAATGTATACATCTACCTGTCCTGGAACTTGCTCTGTTGATCAGGCTGACCTTGATCTCAGAGATCTGCCTGCCTCTGCCTCCTGAGTGCTGGGATTAAAGGTGTGCGCCACCACAGCCCGACTGGGAGCAGAAATCATAGTGCAGTGAGGAAAAAAAATCCCACCCCACCCCACCCCTGCCACACACACAATAAACACAGGGTCTTATGTACCCTAGGGCCTTAAACTCACTACATACATAGTCCAAGGTGAAAAGGTTTACGGCCCAACAAACCTCTCAGCCAATGTAATAATCCAAATCAGACCAAAGTAAGCCAAATTAGAAAGAAAGACTGGAAAATACACGGAGAGGGAAAAAAAAAAGACGAGAAGACCACGTGTTCGGTCTCTGGGGGCAGTTTAAATAGCCTGTGGGAGTGATCTTGAGCCTCTCTGAGAGGGGTCACCGTTTGGCAGGCTTTCTTGGAGGTGGAGTCTGGATGCGGTAACTGCGGAGGGAGCTTGAGGTGGAAAGTTCCACCCAAACATTTCAGACTCTTTGGGCGCCAGCGGCTGGGGTGAAGCTTCCAACCAAACACAATGATGACCTTGAACTTCAGATTCTCCTTTTTCTGCTTCCCAAATGCTTGGGATTACAAGTGTGTTGTAGAAACAATGGAACAAGCAAAACAAACAACAACAAAACACTTTGTTTGTTTGTTTTGTTGTTGGAGGTGGAAACAAACTCATAATTGTACAAAATTCAGCTTCAAGAGACTCGTGGAATTTCACAGTCCAGACGTCTTGAACGTCAGCGCACAGCCGGGACTGGCACAGGCTCCACTTGCTGTGTGAGGACTTGACAGCAGGGTTCAGTAGAAAGCGTGTTTTGCCCTGAATGTGTCCCTGGCTAGGGACGTATGATTTAATTCCTCATCCAATCCTGAGCAGTGGTTGCAAGCAAGAGTTCCAGGCTGTGTCTCTAAACTGTGGTGTTGGCCAGCTTAGGGGCATTTAATGTATTTTAGATTTATGAACGTTTTAAACTTACTGTGCTGGGTAGTTGGTTGGTTTTTTTCTTTCTTTCTTGTTGTTGTTATTGTTAGTGGTGGTCGTTTGTTTGTTTCCAGACAGGGTTTCTCTATGTAACAGTTATGGCTGTCCTGGAACTTGATTTGTAGACCAGGCTGGCCTCGGACACACACGCCTGCCTCTGCCTCCTGAGTGCTGGCATAGTTTTATACCAATTTGACACAAACTGGAGTCATCTGAGAAGAGAAAACCTCAATTAAGAGAGTTCCCCCAGTCGGATGGTGTGGCACATGCCTTTAATTCCAGCAGAGGTAGATGGATCTCCGTGAGTTCGAAGCCAGCCTGGCCTACGAGAGCTAGTTCTAGGATAGGCTCCAAAGCTACAGAAAAACTCTGTCTTGAAAAACCAAAAAAGAAAAAAAAATGCCTCTAGGCAAGTCTGTAGGGCATTTTCTTAATTAGTGACTGATGGGGAGGGCCCAGATCCTTGTGGGTGACTACCATCCCTTGGCTGGTGGCCCTGCGTTCTGGAGAGATGGTGCAGCCATTGAGAACACTTGCTGCTCTTACTGGGTTCAATTCCCAGCAACAAAACGGTGGCTCACAACCATCTCTAGTAGCATTTGCTGCCCTCTTCTGGCATAAAGGCGTACATGTAGATAGAGCAAGCTGAGCAGAGCAAGCCGTGATGAGCAGCGCCCTCCACGCCCTCCATGGCCTCCAGGGCCTCTGCATCAACTCCTGCATCCAGGCTCCTGCCCCGTTGAGTTCCTTCCTGACTTCCTCCAAGGATAAACAGTGAACAAAGAGTGATATGGAATACGAGACAAACCTTTTCCTTCCCGGCTGCTTTACCCGTGGATTGTATCACAGCAGTAGTGATCCTGACTAGGAAGGACACTGACCATGGCTCACTGTAAGTCATTCGATAGGGTCATGTAGGTAAGTCAGACTGGCCTCAGACTTATGACCTTGAATTTTCCTTTCTTTTGCCTCCACTGCCTCTAAGTGCTGGGATAAAAGGAATGTGCATCTGTCCCTAGCCACGGAGCTTTTGTGCCTTTGAAAAGCTTAAAGTTGGGGGCTGGAGAGATGGATCAGCAATTAAGAGCACTGACTGCTCTTCCAGAGGACTTAGTTACTCCAATCTGAGGAGATCCAGTGCAGCCTTCTGGTCTCTGTGGGTACCTGGCATGCATGTGATACATAGACATACATGCTAAAAACAAAACAAAAAAAATGTAAAAAGAGGAGAAAAAATTATTAAGCAAGAAATAATAATTTAAACTCTTTATGGTTCTATTTGAAAAATAGACAAATCAAGATTATGCTAGTGGAGAGTCAAGCCTTTCTGCTGGTGACCGTGGGTTTTGCAGCTAAGAGGGTGACCTATCTCTGAAGTTGAGTGCAAACTCGGAACTTGGACCTTCCCTATATCACTCTGTGTGAGCAACCCTCAATTTATTAGACAAAACACTGCCCCCCTCCCAACCAGCACATTTGTGTATCAACGAGATATACAACATAAATGTTGTATATAAGCGTTGGCTAGGTGAGGTGACACACACACCCTGCTATAAGTTGTGAGGCCTGAAGAGGGCACCAGGATCTCCTGGAACTGGAGTTAGAATCTCAGACCACCATTTAGGTGATGGGGACCAACCTGGGTCCTCTGAAAGAGCAGCAAATGTGTCTAGCTGCCATATCCTTAGCCCCCAAAATAAAATATTTTAAAACAAGTGAAAAATACATAAATACAAATGTATAAGCTAGGTGGTAGTGGCGCACGCCTTTAATCCCAACACTCGGGAGGCAGAGGCAGGTAGATCTCTGTGAGTTTGAGGCCAGCCTGATCTACAAGAACTAGTTCCAGGACAGCCAAGGCTACACAGAGAAACCTAGTCTTGAAAAATAAAAATAAAAAAAAGTGCATCAAGTGTAAGGGCGGACTGTACCACAAACACTCTGAAAGGTCCAGGATGAAGGTGTTCCCAAAGCTTTTGGCTGTCTGACCCTGTGAGAAGGGAAAGCGGTGGGAACAAGGAGAAGTGGAGCCCAGGGTGACGTGGATGTCGTTGGCAGCCTGAACTGCACAGAGTGGAGCCTCTTGCCCCCTGCCACAGAGGAGATGGCGACGCAGACGGCGGTGGTGAGTGGCCGCTTCATGGGTGACCCCTCACACGAGTACGAGCACACCGAGATCCAGAAGGTGAACGAGGGGGAGAAGGTCTTCGATGAAGAAGTGGTGGTAAGTGCAGGGGTGCGAGGGTGCGGGAGGGGCTTGAGCAGATGCCCATTAGGGTTGGGGGTCAACATGATGGGTGAAGGTGTGAGTACCACGGGCAAAGCCCTAGCATTCCCAGCCTCGCAAAGCCAAACCCAACTGAATCAACACAAGAGCAGGATTCCAGGGCCTGGGAGATGCTCAGTGGCTACAGCGCTGGCTGCTCTTCCAGGGGATCTGGGTTCCAGTCCCAGCATCCATACGGAAGCTCACAACTGGATCTCCAGTTCCAAGGGGGGCAATGCCTTCTTCTGACCTCTATGGGCACAAGGTTCACAAGTTGTACATGGACATGCATGCAGGCAAAACCATCAAACATATAAAAAAAAGCTAACAGGATTCCAGCCCAGTAGAAATAAGAGCAAGTCCGGCCATGACTGTCTATTGTCACCACTGTCACTATGGCCGAGCTGTGACAGTCCCTGGGGGAGCTGGGGCTTTGCTGCACCTACACCATCTTGATGGCTCATCACCATCCAGGTGGAGAGGAGGACGTTGGACTAGTGGCTGAGACTTGAGGGGCAGGGCAAAGAGAGTGGGTAGGCAGCACTGGTAAAGCTGGCTCCACATGGGGACCAGGACTGTGTTATTATTATATATCCTGTGTTATAACAGGATGCGTGTTATTATTATTTCGTCTTTTGTTTTGTTTTGTTTTTGTTTTGTTTTGTTTTTCGAGACAGAGTTTCTCTGTAGCTTTGGAGCCTGTCCTGGAACTTACTCTTGTAGACCAGGCTGGTCTTGAACTCACAGAGATCCACCTGCCTCTGCCTCCCAAGTGCTGGGATTAAAGGTGAGTGCCACCACCTTCCAGCTATTTTGTCTTTTTGAGACAGGGTTTCTCTGTGTACCTTTGGCTGTCCTAGAATTCACTCAATAGACCATACCTGCCTCTGCCTCCCAAGTGCTGGAATTAAAGTTGAGTGTCACCATTAACTGGATTATTATTATTGTTTTACAATGCTGGGGATCAAAGCTGGGTCTTATTTATTCTGGGCGACCACTCTGCTGTTGAAAGTGTACTTATTTATTTCATATGTGGGGATAGGCTATCCTTCTCCATATAAGTTCTAAGTCTGAACTTTGATCATTAGGCAGTGCATTACCCACAGAGCCATCTGACCAGCTCTCTGGGACTAATCTTAATTTTACTAGATAATACACCACATGCTTCCTGAGTCATAAGCACTAAAAGGAATGTAATAAAGTTTTGTTTGTTCTCTGCCTGCTGGACTGGGAAACCATCTTTCTAGGGGACATTCTGAAACTATTTAGCTACTCCAGGTCCTTCTAACAGCATCAGTAGCATCACTGCCCTCCAGGAGCTCACAGGATACAACCCACGGCCCAGCATCCCAAACCTGCATCTTCCCATGATCCTCGGGGGTCTGGCTCCATTACGAAGAAGGGGGTGCTATTTCCAGACCCCAGTGGCAAGAAAACCCCTGGCCTCTATGTGTTCTCCTTAATAAACAAAATTAAAAGATGTAGGGCTGGAGAGTTGGCTCAGTTGTTAAAAGCAGCTGTTGTTCTTGCAGATGACGTGGCTCTATTCTAAGTACCCATAAGGTGGCTCATAGCCCCTATTACTCCAATTCCAGGGGACCTGACACAACAGCCTCTTCTGACTTCTGCGGTTACCAGAGATGCACATGGTGCACAGGCATATATGCAGGCAAACACTCACATGTGCAAAGTAATAAAACAATAATTTTTTAAAGTAGAATGGCCTCCGAATTTGGCCGGATTCTCTGACTGTGGCTGACCCGAAGTCTTTCTGAAAAGCCATTGACTATGACACTGGGACCTGTTTCCTCTACATATAATGGATTTTGGGGATCCAGTCTGTTTGGACACTCACCTTCCTGGACCTGGAGGGAGGGGGAAGGAACTGGAACTTCCCACAGGGCAGGAAACCCTGACTGCCCTGTGGGACGAAGAGGGAGGAGGAGGGGGAGTAGGGGGAGTGGGAGGGTGTTGGGAGGGGGGGTGGAAATGGAAACTTTTATAATTTAATAAAATTTACTAAAAAAAAAAAAAAAAAAAAGTAGAATGGCTGTGAGGTATGTCCACAGGCTGTACATTGCTCTCCTCTGTGTCTTCTAGAGACCTACCTCTATCAGCACCCAACCAGCCACCCTGCTTTTTGTGCCAGTGTGTGAATGTACCTGTGTTTAAACAGAGTCTGATTAGCGGAAAGTAGCTTCCAGGTTTCAGTTCTGACAAACACGCCGTGCCAAGTAGCCTTGGACTGACGTCATTTCCAACGTGTGCACTTTATCTAAAGGGCCAGTTCCTAGAAATGCCACTGGGCCAACAAGTAGGGAGTTCATGTTCAGCCTACGCAAACCTGGATTCAAAACCCAGCCTTGCATTTGAACTTGGGTGACGCCATACGTCTGTGTTAGCGGCAGCCACATCTCCCACCTGATAAACGCACTCTTCTGAGTCTCAAGTTCTCCTTCTGTGTAGCCAGGATGACTATTCTGCTCCTGCAGGCTTGTTGGAGTCCCTACGGTGGCATTCACAGCCCCAGGGCTGGGGACGGGCTGCGTGTTGGTTTCTGCTTTCCTTTGTCAGCTGTGCAGCAGGTGGCTTTGTGGGTTCAGATGCCTCTGTCCACAGGCTGCTGTATTGAGCACGCTTGCTCCTTTTCTGACTGCTGCCCTGATGTGAACCGCAATGGAATATCATCTGTGTGAGGTGTGGTGACCTTATGGGGAAATGCTTGGTGATGTCGAGCCTAGAGAAGGACGCTACGTAAACTGTGATCCCAATTTTACTTTAGATAGATTCATAATATATTTATTATATATTCATAAAAACAGAAGGAAGCATATCAGTTTGCTAGTGGTTGGGAGGTAGAATAATGAGTGGATTGAATCCCCTTTAATGTGCTTTTCTGTATTATCCAAATAATGTACAGTGAGCATGATTTTTCCATATATATGATTTTTATATATTTGTTATTAGTGTGTCTGTCTTTCTGTGTGTTTGTCTGTGTTTGTGTCTCTGTGTGTGTGTGTGTGTGTGTATTTGGGCAAATATGAGCCATGGTGTAAGTATGGAGGTCAGGACAACTTAGGGGAGTCAGCTCTTCCATTGCACTTTAAAAAAAATGTATTTATTTGAGGTATATGAATGCTTTGCTTTGATGTAAGGTCTGTGTACCCTGTGACTGGAGTCACAGATGGTGGTGAGCTGCATTGTGGGTGCTGGGAACTGAACCCAGATTTTTCAGAAGAGCAGCCAGTGCTCTTAACCTCTGAACCATCTCTCCAGCCCCTTCCACTATTTTTTAGATAAGATCTCTACTGTTTCTGTTGCAGAGTTGTTTATGGTAGACCAGCTGTCCCTTGAGCTTCTGGGCAGTTCTGTCTTTGCCTTCCGTCTCACCACAGGAGTGCTGGGATTACAGATGTGTGCCACTGTACCCAGTGTCCAGCTTCTTACATGTGTGCCCAATCAGTGAGCCGCCTGTACACACACACACACACACACACACACACACGTACACACACACATGCACACACACACACATGCACGCGTACACATGCACACGCACACACACATGGGAGTTGTGGTGGGGGTGTGTGGAGAGGGGAAGACAAATGCTCAACACAACTCAGGTCTCAGGCCCTGCTGGTGAGGAAAAGAAACAGCCATGTCGATCTCTGTCCTTCACCTGAGGTGAGCAGGCACAGTCCTGGCAGGATGTTCCTCTCCTGTCTCCTCAGGTCCAAATCAAGGAAGAGACCCGCTTGGTGTCAATCATTGACCAGATTGACAAAGCTGTAGCCATCATCCCCCGAGGTGCCCTCTTCAAGACTCCTTTCGGGGTCACCCACGTCAACCGGACCTTTGAAGGTGAGTTCCTGTGGATCCTCTCAGAGCAGCAGGTACTAAGGTTCTACTGGACATGTCTGGGAAACCGGGGCATCTGCCGTCCTTGGAGGAGAGTGGCTGTATGCACAGCATCCTCCCAGGTGGACGGGCCTCCTGGCCTGCTGCTGTTAGTTAGCGTCCTGGTTTCATTCTGTTGCTCAGAACAGTGCCCTGACAGAAAGTAGCAAAATGGAGGTGAGGGTACAGTCCATCTGAGCAGAAGCTTGAGACAGTTGGTCACATCACAGCTGAGAGCGGAGAGAAAGGAGCGCACCTACTTGCTTGCTTGCTTATGCTCGGCCAGCTTTCCGTATTCTTATAGAGTTCAGGTCTCCCTGCCTAGGGAATGGTACTGCTCACAGTGGGCTGAGTCTTTCTACCTCAGTTAACAATGACTATAATCCTCCACAGACATGCCCATTGGCCAACTTGCTCTAGATCAGTGATTCTCAATCTTCCCAATGCTGTGACTCTTTAATACAGTTCCTCATGTTGTGGTGACCCCCTCACCATAAAATTATTTTCGTTGCTACTGCATAACTGTAATTTTGCTACTGTTCTGATTTGTAACCCTGTAAAAGGATCATTTGATCTACAGAGGGGTCGAGACCTACAGGTTGAGAACCGCTGTTCTAGCTAATTCTTCATTAAGACTCCCAGGTTAGGCATGGTGGCTCATGCCTTTAATCCTAGTACTCTGAAGGCAGGGACAGAGACAATTTCTACATTTTTTTCTAGGAATAGAGAATAAAACATGTATTCTTTCTTAGTGACTACATACTTTGGCTTAGAGAATACACAGAAACAGAAAATAAGAGGAACTCTTTGTGAGTTCAAGACCAGCCAGAGCTATATAGTGAGACTCTGTCTCAAAAATATATATAAAAAATTAATTTAAAGAACCAAACTCGCTGAGTGGTGGTGGCACACGCCTTTAATTCCAGCACTTGGGAGGCAGAGGCAGGTGAACCTCTGTGAGTTCGAGGCCAGCCAGGCCTACAAGAGTAAGTTCCAGGACAGGCTCCAAAGCTACAGAGAAACCTTGTCTTGAAAAAAAACCAAAAAAGAACCAGACTCTTTCCCTAGGTGACTCTAAGTTGTGTCAACTTGACATTAAAACCAAGCAGCTGAAATGGGTTATCAGTCGCGGGACCCTGAGGGCCGGAGTGTGTAAGGTGACCCGGGATTTCCCGGGGCAGAGTTGCCTGCTTCTTGCCACTGTCCCTCCTTGCTCCGTTTTCTGGGTTGGGGGTGTGGATGGAGGTCAGGGTCAAGCATGGGCAGAGGGAATGAGCTCCATTTTCTGTCTTGGATTACTTGTCTGGTGGACAGAGGAATCCTGTGCAGTCTTCTCCACGGAGGCCATGCCAGGACAAAGGAGCCCTGGGCTTTGGGTTAACTGCTGTCCTGCCCCTCTACTCCAGGCCTGCCCTTGTCTGAGATCAGGAAGCTCAGCTCCTACTTCCACTTCAGGGAGGCTATTGATCTGAAGAACAAGACCTTGCTCGAGAAGGCAGACTTGAACCCCTCTCTGGATTTCATGGACTCCCTGGAGTATGACATCCCCAAAGGTAACAGGTTTTATCTTCAGGACGCAGGATTGGTCTTCAGGTCAGAGCAGCAGGCCTCTAAGGCTGGAGCTGAAAAACGGGGCAGGCATTGGTGGCTCACTGTGACTCTTGAGGGTGGGGCTTCCACAGAGTCTGGTCTGAGACATTTCACTTCTATTGTCCAGGCAGGAGGCAGCAAGTAAAAGTATTTGAATAGATTTTTGAGACAGGGTTTCTCTATAGCTTTGAAGCCTATCCTGGCACTAGGTCTTGTAGACCAGGTTGGCCTCGAACTCACCTGCCTTTGTCTTCCGAGTGCTGGGATTAAAGACACGTGCCACCATGCCCAGCCAGATAGTTTTTGTTTTATGCAAGGAGCACAACTGTCTGCTATCACTGTGTTTCCTAGGAGTATAATATAAAGCCAGCTGGGTGGTGCAGACCTGTAACCTAGGACACAGACACCTGTACTTCAACACACAACCCTATCTCAAATGTATCTGTGTTCATATATCTATATTCATATATATCTCCATTCATATATGCCCAACATTAGCTACAGTTACCATGTTTTACAATAGACCTTTTTAAATTTATTTTTCCTATCTACTGCCATTCTACTTCCTGTGTCCTTTGATGACATAACCCCATACTTCATTTTATCCAACCCACCTCTGGTAACAGCCTTTCTTCTCTTTTTCTTTGAGACAAGGTGTCATTATGTAGTAGGATCAGAAGTTTAATGTCATCCTTGGCTACATAGTGAATTTAGGCCAGCCAGAGCTACATGAAACCCTGATTTTATTATTTTTATTCTTTGAGACAGTTTTTTTGTGTAGCCCTGGCTGTCCTGGGACTCACTCTATAGACCAGGCTGCCCTCAAACTCCACAGATCCACCTGCCTCTGCCTCCTAAGTGCTGAGATTAAAAGCATGTGCCACCCCACTTAGTCAAAAACCACAATTAAAAAAATATTTCTAGTGGTTAAAAAAAATAGTGGGAGAAGCTGCGGAGGCTTGAAGGTAGGACTGTGCGCACATCTAATCACATTATAAGACAGTGTGCACAGGAGGACAGACAACCCTTAGGGCCAGTGCAGTGCCAGGGGCTGAATGACGGTCCCGAGCAGCTGGATTCTGCCACATGGGGGCACCAGAGCCAAGTCACTGCGAGTAGTGGCTAGGTGGCTTCTGCGACCAAAGGGAACGTGAATAGGGCCGGAATGGATCTCACTTATCAGACACAACTCTGGTTTTCTTCTAGACTCTCTCTAGCTGAACGAGCTGCTGAGTGGCTCTCCTGACTGACAGATGGCAGTGGTGACGTGCTGGGCTGCAGAGTGGGGACAGGAACCCTTGGAGGAGTCCCCTGGAACACCATGCCTGGCTGAAGGGGTGGGGTTTGTAGCTGCTTAGCTCTTTCTGCCTAGGGAGGAGTATTATTTTCTGAGTCTAAACCAAGCATTCAGGATGGCCCGTGTCACCTCTGAGCACGTAAGGTTGAAGTGGGCCTTATCCTGGGGCCCCTTCTCTGAGCCCACAGAGAGAGGTTCAGAGCTTTTCTCTGGACCAGTCTTGGGACCAGAGAAGGGGGAGGGGTCTTGTCTGAAGCCAATATCTTTTCAATGAGCTGCCATGTAATAATGCCCTGGGATGGGCAGTTTTGTAGGGCTGGCTCCCTGGCAGGCTCATCCTCCTGATGGGCACAGGGCACTGGCTAAGACTTCTCTGACCTTGGGCTTGCACCAGGAAGACAGGTGGATCAGGCAGCCAGATTCCTCAGTGGTATTCTGCCGTTCAGTATTCCTTGACCTTTCGCTCTGTCAGCGGAGCATGGAGCAGTTGCCATGTGCCAAGCCCTTTTGGTGCCCTTGGAATGAGAAAGACAACTCTCCTGTGTCAGGAAGGTTTGAGGAAAGCAACCGAGATGGGCTGGAAGGTGTCAGGAGCACAGAGGAGGGAGCAGAAGAGTCAGCAGGTGGCAGGGCTGGGGGTGCAGAGCTGGCCGGAAGGGATCCCAATAGCGAGCACTCGTTGGCAATGCCCAGTTTGAACAGCAGAGGGCAGCAAGAGTCCTGAGGCTTGGAAATTGGCGTTTAGATGCCTTCATAGATGGTGATTACGGTGGGGCTTTATATGAGACAGGGAACTTGAAGAGGATGGGTAACGTGGTATTAGCCTTATGGGTGAGCGAGCAGATGACTCGTACTGTCTAAGTCTTTTGTAAACTTGACTGACCAGGGTCCCTGCTACCCAATGCTTACTTATATTGGTGGCTGACGCCAGGGGCATTTTTCCTATGTCCTCAGCCTCTAGGAGGGTTGACTACCTTGTGGTAAGGGGGATGTGGCTTTTCCCATCAGGAACCCCTAGTCATTTTTTTTTTTTAAATTTCATTTGCGTGTGTAGCTGTGTACCACACGCATGCCCGGTGTCCATGCTAGAAGCGGTACTGGACTCCCTGGCACAGGAGTTACAGATGGTTGTGAGGCATCATGTGCACTTGAACTCAACCCAGGTCCTTCTAAAGAGTAGCAGTGCTCTAAAGCGTTGAGCCAGCTATTCAGTCCTCCCTGGTCATTTCTTCATGTGATGAAGTCTAGGGGTTGAGGCTTAAGCCAACTGCTGCCCCTCGATGGGAGCCTGACTCTTACACGCCCTTATGTCAGCCTTACTTCCCAGGTGGCAGGACGATGTAAGAATCAGTCTGCCTTAGCTTAGGGCTCCACCCTGGAACCTGGACACCCAGGAGGACTCCCTGCTGAGCTCCAGGGTTGATCTTTTCCCCAGCCACAGAGCACAGGTGTTTGAAGAGCCACCTGAAGCCAGGAACCCAGGTCTGAGGAGGCCTGGGGCTGTGAATTGCCCCACTAGGTTGCTTCCTACCTTCAAAGCTACTGTAGCTGGCTGGGCCTAGTTTTTCCATGTTTGCACTTGAGACAGTGGTGAAGGTGACAGCCAATGCCTGGTTTCTCAGATACAAGCTACGTGTCTACTGACATGTGCACGGAGGAGAGAGTGCGTTTGTGTATTCTGGATGAGCAGCCAGGAAGGATGAGAGGACAAGAGCATGACAGGAATGCAAGGGAAGGCGGGAGCTGGCCCCTGGCATGCTGCAACTCGGCTAGCACCCTTTGGCCTGCTTGGCCCTGTCCTTCTTGGTTTCTGTGTTTCTTTAACTTCCTCACAGTTCTCCTCGTTACTGGGCCTGGGCCACTCATCCCAACCTCTGATCCCCATCTACTGGAAACAAGAGGTGACCAGGCATGCTGTGAGGGGCCCCCTGCCACTATGCTGTTGGCTGAACCGATGGGTATCTGGCTGCAGTGAGGGTGGGGGTAGACCCTAGGCTGTTTGCTCCAGGCCAGCACCTGGACAAGGGAAGTCGCGAGCCAGTCTCCTTTGGTGGGCAGAGCAATCACAGTCTGGGCTTGCTTATCTCAAGGAGGCTGCGAAGCTGTGGACTCCAAGGTCTCTGTGGATGCACTGGGCCCTGGTGCAGTGACTAAGGCTAGAGAACAGTATATTCCTGGGTCTGTTGTCAAGGACCAGACACAGCGGACCTGAAACCCTTTGTTCTGTCACACTCCATCCCCATCTCCCCCAGAACAATGTTTTCTGGAGACTTGGGACCAAGAAAGCCACTGAGGTTCTCAGGTTCCCAGGGAACAGCTGCTGACCAGGTGCGGCTCCAGCCACGGCCTGTCATACACGATGTTCTGAGTATGACGATGGGGCAATGACAAGCCCATGGTGTAACCACCACCTCATCATCCCATGCATGGCTGAGTCAGGACCAGGGGCAGCAGACCTCCATGCTTCCAGAAAGCTCTGTTTTTGACCGGGGCAGACAGCTAGCTATGCAGGGACCAGCTTTTCGGATGCAGAGTGGCCCCCAGAGGGTGGGGATTGAGTTGTGAGGTTATTGGGTGTGGAGTGACCAGGGTGGGCCATGGTTGGAGGTAGGCTGCGGGAAGCTCAAGTGATGGGAGCCAGCAACAGGGCTGAGTTGGCAACTGATGAAGGCCCCAGAACAGCCCTCAGAGCAGAACTGGTTGGTCCTGCACCAAAACCTTCAAAAGTATTTGCCTTCCTGGCAGGGCCCTGAGTAGGGCTGTGGCTGGTTTGGGGGTGAGGCCTCAGTGCGCAGGGGAATAGAAGCTCTAGATCTGCATCCAGAGGCGATTTTCCCAGGCTCCTTCCTCCCACACAGCGGCTCCCTCCCTTGGAGCTGGATCAGGCCCTTCCCGCCAAGTCCTTCCGGCTACACAGCTCAGCCTGGTCTAAGCTGCTGTGTCTGGAGAAGCACAGGGCCGACTCAGCAGCCGATGTCCCACCCCACCAAGCATGGCTCCGCCTACCAGCAGTTAGGAAGACCTCTGAGGTGGGAGTGGGGACAACCTCGGCTTGAGCCCCTGGTTGTCTCGTCCATCTCAGAACAGAGGTTCAAGGTCACGGTGATTTACTCTAGTGCAAGGGGAAGGAGCCACTCTGTCTGCCGATCCCCTAAGCCCTAACTTGGCATTTCACGTCTTCATCATCTTCCCTGTGTCATAATGAGCAGCAGCAGCCAGGAGCACAGCAGCCTTCACAGTGGCCCCTCAGTCCCAGGCCTCCACTTCCCTTTGTCCCCCCAGGGTCTTGGAGTATCCAGATGGAGAGGGGCAACGCGCTGGTGGTGCTGCGCAGCCTGCTCTGGCCGGGCCTCACCTTCTACCACGCTCCCCGCAGCAAGAACTATGGCTACATTTACGTGGGCACGGGTGAGAAGAATATGGACTTACCCTTCATGCTATAGGAGGGGAAGTCTAAACATTATTTCCATAAAGTTGGACATACTTGGGCTCTTTGTTCTGTCATGGTTTTGGTCATTTTGTTCCCCATCCAGAGACACGGGTCCAGAGAGCAGGAGTGCACTCCCGAGGAGACACTATGTAGAGACAGGTAGGAACAGCTGCGGAAGGGATGGTCAGGTGTCTGCTGAGCTTCCTCGACTCTACCGAAAGCTACTTGTGGGTTAGGTCCCCACTAGAGTGTGATGCCTATTGGCCGAGGATGGGCACCTGTGTGTGCACATGGACTTACTCCAGTCAGGGACAGGGCCATCCTGTCCCTGCAGGATGAGCAGCTTCGCATTCTCAAGTGTGCCCCACACGTCTAAGCAGTGACCACACAGGGAAGCCGAAAGCCTGCTTTATTACGTTTCTTTGCGTAAGGCTCCTGCCCTTGCACCGACCTCAGCCCAAGCTAGTCAGAAGACCACAGGCCAGCTCCTGCCTGCCCCGGCTCCCAACACCATGGCTGAGCAGATCCAGGGAAGAGAAGTTAGTCCTGAAGTCCCCATGCTGTGTGTGGAGGGCAGTAGTTCTGGTAGGAGGGGCAAGTGCATCATCTGGAAGGTTCTAGTCAGGATATTCAGTAGTACGGCTCCCATTAATGCATCAGCTTCAAAGGCCTTCTGGAGTAGCAGACATTGTCTTTCAGGAGTGGTGACCCCACAGCCATACCGACCTTATCCCAACGGTGGCCTTTTTTATAGATGGGCTTGACAGAGCTGGGAGCCCAGCGAGTCAGGTAGCTGTGGAGGAAACACAAGGAGGTTGGCATGCTGCACCATCTATCACCAGTTTTCCCTTCTCAAAGGGCAAAGGATTTTCCTGGGAGAAACTGCTGTTTTATAAACGAACCGGCTCTTGCTGTTTCAAGTGTGTGGTTAGGGTCAGTCAGGGTCAGGAGCCCAGGCCCAGCTCCCTTCATCTTTCTAAGCTGCCAGTATCATCTACTGAGGGAGAAGGCCAAGGAAGAGGCTGCTTGGACAACAGCTCTCTGGCCTGACACAGGGAAGGTTAAAGGCAGAAGAGCCTTGCCACTCTTCCCCAGCTGGCTGCTCTAGACACCCTAGCCTCCAGGGAACTCCGCAGGGTACCACACTGGTGCAGGACTCCACCCATCATCCAGTCTGACATAGAGGGTGCAATCCCAGCCCAGCGGGTTCCTGTAAGTGGGAGAGGGCAGGGAAAGATGGCGGCCACCCATGGTCCTCTGGCCTCCTTTGGGGATAGCCTGGGCCCGGACTGTTCCTGGAAAAGCGGCTCACAGCACCAAGACTGGGGTTTACTCTGTTCATAATGAAACCTGGCTCCTGACCAGAAAGACCCATCCTTTATCCTTAAAGTTCAGCCACAAAGGCCAGGGGTCCTTCTGTGTTCTATGTGAGGCCGAGGCTTGCCCTGGCCTCCTCCAGAGACCATCAAGTAAAAGCTTAATTTAAAAACTAGTATTCCTGGCAGAAATTAAATTTATTTTTTTGGCTGAAATCTTTGGCTGAAAGAAGGATTGCTGACTCACGCATGCCTTTCCACTGTGTTCCTCTGAACCCTGGTCTTCAGCTGACAGCCTTATGTAGGACCGGGAGGTCCATCCTGGACCCGGTGTGTGCTGGGCTCAGAAGGTAGGAAGACACGGCCTTCCCCAGTTGGCTGGGGTGTGCTGCCTGCACAGGGGCTGCTCTCTCTCATCAGTGGTTCTAGAACGACAGGTCGGCCCAGCATGGGCTCCCTCACCACCAGCTAGCCCTTGTCCAAGGAGGGAGAGGTGAGGATGGGGGTCTGACAGTGGCCCCTGAAAAAGGGTGTTCACCAGGACTCCAGAAGACCCCAGCTGACCAGACTCTCCAGAGCCATCCTCCTCAGCTGTCCCTTCAGCTAGCCTTGGGCTTGATGCCTGTTCCACATGGGGCAGCCAGTTGACGGGTAGGCTAGGTGGCATCCAGTCAGCCCTCTGTGAACACCTCAGCTCTAGTTGGAACTCCAGCTTTCCAAATCACTCCCTTTACATCTCTTCTGAGCAAGGAGGGCTGGCCTGGACCCTGGTGCACGGGAGAGCGGGAATGGGAAGACCTCTGCTGGAGAAGGTACTGCTGCACCAGGGTGCTGAGGACATGGGGGAGTGAGCGGGCCTAGGCCCTTGAGTACAGACTAGGGACCTTTGGGTGCAATCACAGCATCCCTTGTACAGGGATCAGCACCTTCTGAGCCAGGACTTCCCCTCCCCCAGGATGGCCTTTTGCAACTCAAGAGCCCCCACACATCATCAATCCTGTGTCACACTAAAGGACACCGGATGTAAGGGAGGGAGCCTGGCCTGGCTTCAAAGGCCCGAGGGCAGGATGGATTGTGTCCTCAGGCTTGCTGCTGTCTCTTAAAAGCCAGGGTGGGGGTGGGCTCAACCCCGAGCGGACCAGAGCATGCCCTGCTCCTTGGGGCTGCTGGCAGGGAGCCCAGCTCTGCGCAGGATCTAGGACTGGGGGAGGCAAGGCACAAGGAAACAAACCTAAATTATCCCACCCCACACCCTCCACCTAGCAACCTGGCTCCCCGCATCCACCTGGGATGGTAGGGATCTCTGCAAAGATCTGTGGGGGCTTCGGAGTCTCGTTCTCCCTCAGTCACCCTGCAGAGCATCTGCGTTCTCAAGATCAGCAGAGGCAGCCTGACACACCAGAGGAGGGAAAGGCCGCCGGGGGCATAAGAACCGCGGAATCAATTCTACAGACCCAGCTCTTCTCTCAACAAGGGGATATTATAGATCTAATCGCCTGTCAGGGTAACATCAGGAGAGGGGACCCTGCAACAGAAAGCTGTCTGAATGTTAGCTGAGAATCTGCTCTCACTCCACAGGGGCTTGCCCACCCTGCTGCTGCTGGAGAGCTGACTTCATCTTTTCCCCCTAAGACCTCAGAACAGCTCAAGATGCCAAGGAAGTTGTGTAGGCTGTTAGTTCCAGGGAGCACGGGTGACTGAGCCTATATGCAGGCTTCCTTGATGCAATGCCGTGTACAGTGGCCCTATCCCAGACAGTCCTCCATGGCCAAGGCCTTGTTCTGTCCTGTAATGACCCTAGTGTTGGAGAGAGTTGGGATACTGAAATTTGTAGTAGTGGTCTGACAAGCTGATAGCAATGCAGTGATGTCATCAACGGGATTAACATATTCTAATGCCCAACCAGCAGCCTCCTTGTCCATGTCAAGGCCAAGGCCCTCTAGGACAGAAAAGAGGGAGTGGGCCAGAGAGGGAGGTGGTGTGGTACATAGCATACAGTACAGCATGGTGGAGAAGATGTGGGTATACTCGGGCTGGCTGGGAACGGAGCAGACAGCCTAGGAACACTTTGGTTCTCCTGGGCGGCTCTGAGAGCCATGGGGCAAGCCCCCCAGAATGCCGTGAGATCCATGGGCCCAGAGTGCTCGGGTCGATTGTGCTCATGTTTCCTTACCGATTGAGTTTGGGTTTATTCTTCGATAAGGACCCTTCTGGAAGCCGTGGCCTGTGATCCGGGAGAAGACCTGAGTGGAAGAACATACAAAGGGTCAGGCTCCACAGTTCTGAAAGGGCCGGGGTAAAGACCATGGGAGTGGGGGGGGGGGGGCGGGCGTAGAATCAATATTCTGCTCATCACCTCTCTTCCAGCTGTTAACAGTTGGTTGGGACGAGGAACCTGCAGTCCCCACCACCCCTTAGTCCTGGGTACTCTGACCTGCTCGGTGAGCCATCTTTACACACTCCTCGATCTTTCGGTGTTCTTCCAGGCACAAGCCTGTGACACTCCGGGGCAGCATGCCTCCATGTGGCCGGATGAACTGACTGAGCAGCAGCACATCCTAGTGAAAACCAAAAACTGGAATGTGAGTCAGCTGGGTTTAACCAGGACTACTGGCTCTGCAGGGGTCTGAACAGGACAACTCAACAGGATTTTTCTATTACTCATTACCAACCAAAGGGCTCCCAGGCACCTCCCCCAAAATCTTCTGACATATCAGGTGAGATCAGAAATGCTCTAGTGAGCGTTTACCACCAGTCTTTCTTGGTAGTAAAATGTCTGGTAGTCTGCCAGGGAGTTGTGCACACGCCTTTAATCCTGGCACTCAAGAGGCAGAGGCAGGTAGATCTCTGAGTTAGAGGCCAGCCTGGTCTATAGAGTGAGTTCTAGGACAGCCAGGGTTACACAGAGAAATCCTGTCTCAGAACAAACAAACCCCCAAATAAATAAATGAAGTGTCCAGCGGTCATTTCTAACTGCCGGGACAGACCATGGAGAGCACCTCCGTGAGAGGCGCTGCTGTCCCACCTCAGCTGCAGTCTCCATGCTCAGGTGCTTAGCTAGGAGGCACCAGGCCCAGAGGAAGGGAGACGGGCTGTCAAGTTCAGTCCAGATGGGAACGGGTCCTTGGACCTAACAAGCTGTGTGGGACTGAGTCTAGCAAAAAGGACAAAATGGGGCTGGAGATAGCTCAGTGGTTAAGAGGACTCATCCAGAGGTCCTGAGTTCAATTCTCAGCAACCACAAGGTGGCTCACAACCATCTGTAATGAGATCTGGGATCTGGTGCGCTTGCCTGGCCTGTACGCATACATGCAGGCAGAACACTGTATACATAATAAATAAATAAATAAATCTAAAAAAAAAAAAAAAGAACTGGTAAAAAACCTCTCTCCCACCTTAAATGGCTCAAGGGCCATTTCCCTACCAGGGCCCAATGCCAGCCTTTGTCCGTTTACTAAATTGTTGCCTTGCTGTATGACCGAAAGTTTGTTTTAATCACTGGACAGCTCCCGGGGACCCCGGGTTCCAAACTCTCAGCCCAGCACTCTGCAGAAGCAGCTGTAATAGACTTGGACTAATTCACAGCAAACATGCTGGCTTGCATCCTCAGCACCCTTCACTTCAGGCTGCCATGCCAGCTGACAGCAGCACACAGCTTGGACCAACAGTGTTCCAAGTGGAAAGGGGAAAAAGAAAAAACTTTAGCCTTTACCTTGGAGAAGATTAGATTTCTTCTCCTGGA